GACTATACCCAATTTTCACTTGGAAAGTTGAGTAGGGTTTCATTTCTGTCAATTTTTTTTCCCCTCCCTTCTATTTTCCCATCTTTCCATCGAAATAAAAAAAAAAAAAAAAAAAAAGAGACATAAAAAAAAAAAAAAGGAGAGAGAGACAAGACCATTTGGCCATCTTCTAGAATTCTCTCTGCAAGCCCTTAGAGGTGATTTACAAGCAAGTTGGACATTCAAATTAACATCTTTTTACTCCAACTTGAGGGAGTAAAGAGGATCAAATCATAATATATCATAAAATGATTGATCCTAATATATCATGTCATTATAAAGATTGATCAAATCATAAGAAATCAATTTATTCATTGATTGATTCCAAGAATTTGATATTAATTATAATCTCAATAATAAGAAGATTTTTAATTAATTATTATTTATTTATGGTATGTATCTCTCACCCTATAAATAAGGTTGTTTATATGTAAAAAACAATGAAGAAAAATAAATGTGCAAAGCCAACAGGAGCTTTTGTACCATGGATTAGGGGGGTTGCTATGCTGAACACATAATATCACGTCTTCCTCTTTCTCTTACTTATCTTTTATTTTATTTATATTATTGCTATATTATCATGAACTTTCTACCATTAGAAATTTCTTCACCCTGTTAGAAACTTCCTCATTTTTTTAGTGGGATTCTCTTAGAATTGTGAATGATATTTTGACTGACCATAGAAGGGCAGATCAAAGCATAGTCTTTCCTTTAATCTCTTTGACTAAGACAAGATATGAAAATCCAATAAAGTTAGGCAACACACATGCATAACCTCCAATTGCATGGTCGATTCTTTCTTATATGACTTTGAGGAAGGAATTATAAATTTCGCAAGTTTAAGACTTGCCCGTGTGTTTCTTTGGTATCAATCTATTTTTCCTCTCCTTGAAATCTTCTCTTTTGATACGACTATGGTTCTGTTTAGTTTAATTATTATGAATAGTTAATATTTAATAGAACAATTAGTATTTATTATTTCATAATTTAAAATTAACCTATAAATTGATATTTGTAAATGTCATAACCAACTATTTAAAGAAAAATTAAGACTATAAACTAATCAGTTAAACTAAACACTCACTACATAAGATTCAGTTTTTGGTATCTTTTACTTGCTTCTCATGAATCTCATCTTTCCTTCTTTTGAAAAACTTCGAAAAAATCAAGCCTAACTATCACTCATATGCACCCCATCTATGTTTTTCTTTCGGTTCAGGTAGTAAAATTGTGCTGGCCACAAAAGAAAAAAGAAGCCAAGCAAACTAGATAGAGTTGGTCCATATTTTTCTCTTGCAAATTCCTTTGGTATATGTTTAGGGTATATTTATCAGATCCTTTTTTGATCCGAGTGGTTTAGTACGAAGTTTTCAAATCTGATAATCTCTTTATTATTAGTTTTGTTGGACGATTAAGGTGTGTCCTTAGGACAGACAACCTTTTAAAGTGAAATTTGTTGACAATATACCCCTAAATGGTAAATTAAAATGTAAGAAGGCCACATGAAATTTGCACAATATCCTTTAGAAGTTTATATAATGGGATTTATGTATCACAGTCCAAATTATACTTTAAAAGTATAGTTTATTCTATAAATTTATTAAAATACTCTTAATGAAATAGTATAAGAAATAGTTTTATTAAGGGTGTTTTGGTAAATTTACAAGGTAAAATGCATTTTTAATGTACAATCTACCTTGTAAAATACTTTTTTTGTTAAATAATTTTTTTAAAAAAAGGCACAATGTACGCCTTGAAAGTTCATAAATTTAATTTATTTAAAAAAGCCAAGATTAGCATGCAACTCAAAACAAAGTAGGTAATGCTATAGGGACCGATGGTCTCCAAGCCGATTAATCCCTATAGTTTTTTCTTTTTTTCTTTTTTTTTTGCTGTTTAAATTTAAAATTTAAAATTTTATTTTTTGGTTCTATAATTTTAATTTTTAAATTATTAAATATCTAAATTTTTAAATATTAAACTTCTAAAATATAAATCCTAACACATTAAACACTAATTTAAAAAAGAAAATTAAATCTTAACATTATAAAATATATAACTCAAAAATCTAAATTCTAATATCATAAAATATAAAATTCAAAAAATTTAAACTGTAACTCTGTAAATACTAAACCCTAACATCGATCCTAAATACTTAATTAAAAAAAAAAACCCATAACATCCTAAATATTTAATTCTAAAAAATTTAAACCCTAATTAACATAATAAACATTCACTTTTTTTTAAAAAAGAAAAAACTAAACTCTAAAAAATTTAAATTCTAATACCTTAAACCTCGAAACCTTAAAAATTTAATCTAATCCCTAACATTATAATCACTAAACCCTAATGATCTAAATTAAAATAATTTTGTTTGATTTTAAAGACTTAAATTATGTCTTTTAAATATAGGGATTTAAAAGTTATAGTCCTATAGGCTTGAGGGCTATTTTATTAGCTACGCCCTTCCTTAGAACCAGGAATCAAATGGACGTGGCAATCCTTCTGTCGGCATGACAGGTTTCGGCCCCAATAGCATTATTCAAACTAAATTTCTCCCAACCTCTCTTGAAGTTACATTCCACACTCAAAAATTAAATTTTCTTGAATGCTGGGCTAAATTTTAAATTTTAAAACTAACTAAAACGACATTTAATGATCCCATTGTTTTTTATCACGTGGCCTAAAGTTTATATGAAATCATAGGATATTTTTGCAAGTTAATTTTCACTACGTACCAGAGAAAGGAAAAACATTTCTATGAAGAGTAATTATAGGAGGATAAAAATTTATGATGAAAATTTGGGACTAATAACATGGTACATATCACGTCATTAAATTAGATGATATATATAATATTATGAACTTTAAAAAAATAAAAATATCAATTATTAAATAATATAAGATTTGCTTTTCAATATTTTAAATAATATAACTTGTTTATTAATTTTAAATTTTAATTTGATTTATCATTATCCAATATTAACTCTACCAGCATTCTTTGTAGAAGAAAGGAGACAAAAAAGCAAAAAACAAAAATCTCCTTGTGTTTCCACCATCTATCATAAAAGATTCCCGCTCATTTTCTCAAAAATATGAAAGGGGATCCCCAGGTGGGTCAGGTTTTACTTCAACAATTTAATGGGCTTTTTTGCGAGTCAAAAAACGTGATATAAATTTTTGGTACAATTATTTTTTGAGTTTAAAATTTTTACATTAGTTTTTATTTCATTAAATTTTCAATTTTTAGTTGATAAAATTCTTTATAATGGGAGTAGTCACCTTTCATCACTTCCATTTATCTTGGTAGGTTTCATGTACGAATTTCACTTAATTTAAATTTTTAGCCAAAAAAAAAAATTTTCAACATTCTTTTTCATAAACATTTTAACAATATCAAAATTTAACCGAAATTATTTAAATTTAAGATCTTTTATTTAGAGTTTCAAAACTTTATTAACTTAAAATTACTTAAATTTAAGATCTTATTAGTTGTCAATAAAGAAAGACACTTAATAGTGCTATTTCCATGGCAGAATTTCTGCTAACAGTCCCCCACCCATAAATCTACTTTTCATGGAAATGGGTTTTTACTAATACAGTAAATTCTGACGTGGAAATAACCTTTTCCTTATATATAGAAAATTACATTTTACTCTCTAACCGTTCGGCCCTGAGTGGTCACACGAGACCTAACCACCGGACGGCTTGACGGAGAACACTCCGTTCCAGATCTCAGTGAAAGCTCTGACGATGACACCATGGTAGTACGGCGAGTTCAGCTGCAAGAAACAGTTGAGGAGCTCCCTCATGTCGTCCTTAGAGTATATCTCCTTTTCCAGAATCATCTGCAGCATCGAGTGCCTGAAATCCAGATACGGGTCATCAGATTCCTTCTCCACTGCCACACTCTCCCCTCCTACTCGTCCGAATCCCCGAACCATTTTCATCGAACCGTCGTTGGCGTCCATTTCCGTTTCCCCCTTTGTCTGGTGCCTGGACGAAGTGGAGGAGAAGCGGTAGTGATTAGTAGTGTGTTTCCGGCTGGATTCGGACTTGGGTCTGTGATTTGGGTTAAACAAACGGGATATCAGGAGCTTGGGTCGCCGGTAGCTGCCGCAGCCTAAGCTCACCGTGACGTTGTTTAGAGTCAGCCGTTTTCTGGTGGTGGACATTTTTACAGTTGCACGTAAAGAAAGGAAGATGGGATGAGGAAGCAATTGAACGGAGGTGGTGGGTGCTCTTTATAAATCCTGCATGTGAGAATGGTCCATGGATGATACCGTGACGGGATTGTTAAACTTGTAAATATGACGGTCTGATTTCGACCGTCAAATTTTTAGTGCAGGTTCTGATCGGTCGGTTTTGGATGGAAATCAACCGTCCTAGTTTTCTAATATTGAGGACCGGCATGTAAGATTAGACTGGTTTGATTTTGGTTTGGACTTAATGCAATAAGGGATTGTCTGGTTCAACTGTTAGGTAACAATATATATAGTACTTTCTTTTAAGGAAAATGTCATTGAGAAAACCATTTTGTCTCACTTTTTTTGTAAAACTTGATATGTCATTAAAGTGATTAGTTTTTTTAATTTATGTGGGATTTATAATATTGAGTGCATCCACTCATTTAATGATATTTGCAAGTTATACAACAAAATGGAACAAAAAAGTTGTCCCACAAAAAGATTGTCTAATAGCACCACACTTTTTTTAAATTAGGCGAATGAGAGTATTTGAATAAGAGAAGTGTGCTAGAAGCACTTGGTTATTGATTTGATAAAAATATTTTTTAAAAAAATTTTAAAAATATATTTTTAACTAATTAATTGCAAGTGCAACTAACACAAAAAAATGTGTAAATAAAGATATTAATTTTATATTTTTTTACTTAAAAATGTTAATTTTACTAGTTTTTAAATAAAAATGT